TGCCCCCAGATCAGAGGCAAATCATTGCCTGCTCCCGTGAGGACGATCACTATGCGTAAAGTGTTGTGTAATGTGAACAGTTCAGTGATGTAATGACTTTGAAAGTCATGTAATGTGACCAAAGATGAAGTCATCTGTGACTTGTTTTGCCATCTTTGTCTTCCTGGAAAGAGAGAAGAGAAGCTAATATAGTATCAGTATGCGCAGACCTCACATGTCCAACTGTCATTCTCCTGGCAGCATTCAGGTCAGGGCCTGGTTGGTTTAGTTCTCCTTCCACTGCTTCCATCTCTCTTTTTCCATTGATCACCCTGATAATCCGATAAACTTCCTGCTCTTTGTTATCAGCCCATTGATCTGTGTACCTCTGTGGTTGTTGACCATGGTGGAATAAAACTGTAAAGGGGAGGGAACATAGAAACTGCAATATGTGTGTTGTTTAAATGTCAACATGTAGAGTTATGGCCAACACAACAGATAATAGAGTTATTAAGTACAAGAGGTTTGTCAGGGCAGCTAATGATGATGAGGTGTCAGGAATTGGGGCTGCTGATGAGTGCTAACCACACTCTGTCACTGTGTAATGTATTAGTTGGAATGTATCAACATCTATGTGTGTTTGACATGCTTGTCATTTCTCTCCTCTATGTGTGTTTTCCAGCGGTGCCTGCTAACATCTCTGAGCTGAAGAACGTGGAGGTCCTTAACATGTTCAACAACCAGATTGAAGAGCTGCCGACTCAAATTAGCAGTCTTCAGAAGCTGAAACACCTAAACCTTGGGTATGTTCTACTCTTAATTACACACACACACACACACACACACACACCACTCTCCCTTTCTTATTTTCAGTAGATCTGTGTTGGAGCAGTACAGTAGATAGTTAGGTTGCCTCCTGTTTATTTATTGTTTCCCCTAGGCTAGGCTGTCTACACTTCATGTTCTACCTAGGTCACTAGATTCCCTTCTCCATCTCTGCAGTCTCTTTCCACAGTCAAATCCAAATCTCCCCTTTAGGCTGTTCCAGCTCAGATTTGGGTTCAACAATTATTTTGAACCTTAGAGCCTTTCTGCTCGATTTGGTTTGTAAGGCTGTATGACAAAACAAAAACCAAATCAATGGGTCAGCGATTTAAATGGGGCATGTTTATTTAGATAAAAGGTTCCATATGTAAGATTCTGAAGCATTTTACAGGCTATTTTTATGTATGAATAACTTTTTATTGCTAATGAGTGAACAGGTTGTAATGTAACTTTAAAAAATGAGACCTTCTCTGTTGCTTTTGGATTTATTTATATGTGTTTTGATGTAGGAGAGCAGGTTGGATTCTCTGCTAAAATGTGATGTGTGATAGGATGTGATTTTTACGTGTGCTCCTGAGTGCCTTCTCTTTCCACTCTCCTACAGTGTCAACAGTGTGCAACACTAGGTAACGTTAGCTTATAAATGGAGTCCGCTAATCTCTATAAACGACACCCACCACAACACACAAGTCCAAAATCAAAGCTAACATTACTGCAAAGCTTGTGGAATATATTGTCTTATTGTGCTTTTAACTGGCTAATGTTAGTTTGCTTTTGCTAACACAGACAAACTGCTGGCTAGTTAAACAAACTTGACTGGACTCGACTTGGACATATTAATTGTTACAACTGAAAACAGGAGCTGTGCTCCAGAAAAATGAGAGAAATAAAGAGAGTTGCTGCTTTGGAAACAATGCAACGTCTTGTGTAGTTACAGTGGTGTAAAATGGCAGGTTTCAGTGTTGTAGACTACATTATTTTGCAAGTAGTTGAAAGTTTCAACTCGTATTGTGAATGAAATCGCCCTCAATGCCTACCTTTCCTAAATATTGCTTCCAGCACTCCTCTACAATATGTTCTTTTCGTTATAGGTGTGGTGTGGCCCATCCACTTGAGTTAAAACAATTTAATAAACAATTATATATATTTATAGTTTAACTTTTAATTTTAATTTATCATAGTATTTTTTTAAGACTATAATTTTCTTATATAGCATTTAAAGAACAGCATTGGCCGCAAACAGTGAAGAGAAATAGGAAATAGAAAAGAAACAGGACAAAAAACAAAAATCCCAAAATATGAAAGCAACAAAGATAAGAAAAAAAACAATTGTAAAAGCATAGGTCCTTATAACATTGATGGCTGCTTGTAGCAGTATATTGTTCCTGGATATGTGAATATATGATACTGGGGGACATTAACCACAACAAATACAGAAAAAGCAGCTGGTACTGTACAAAGGTTACATGTAGGTTATTCACACAAAGAAAAAAAAATGTAAAGGGTGAGCAGATCAAGGATATGGGTGAGACTGGTAAGCTTTAATGTAATTCCATAGTAGACCAGACAGGGCTTTCACCTGTCCGTAATGTGGAAAGCCAGATTGACAATTTACTGATGTTTGCTGCCCAGTAGTATAAACAATTGGATGGTGATAAACCACTGGATGTTCCAGATAAAAGTTGAAATCATCTATTTTGGTAAAAAATAAATTGGAATCATTTGAAAAAAATACAAAAATCTAGGCAGTAATGCCATTTTAACATAGTTTATATGGCCTGCAAGAGAAATGGGTAGAGTTGACCAAAGTGTCCTGTTTAGTTCGATCCATTAAGGGGCTAAAATCATATTTAAACAGTGCTTTGAAAGAACGTAATTTGAACTCCAAGATAAATAAAAATACATTGATTCAACCTGAAATAGTAAGTCGGTGTAGTTAATTGCTAATTGGTTAACAGGAAAAGTTTAGTTTATAGCCCGAACAGCTGCCAAATTTTTGGAAAAGTTGTAAAGGTTTAGAGATGGACTCGTCCGGCTCTGGAATATACAAGAGTAGCTCGTCTGCATATAATGACAATTTATGGTATCTTATCTAGTAATTCTTTTAATTTCCATGTTTAATCTCAAGGCAATGGCGAGGGGTTTGATAGCTAGATTGAACAGCAATGGGCTGAGAGTGCACCCCTGTCTAGTTCCTCTATAAAGTGGGAAATATTCAAATATGGTATTGTTAGTGCGGGCCGACGTCAAAGGTGATAAGTAATAGATCTTAATCCAAGTAGTAAAGAGTGGACCAAAGCCAAACTTCTGTAGAACAGAGAATAAGTATCTCCATTCAAAGCGATCAAAAGCCCTTTCAGCATCCAGGGATATAATGACCTCTGGTATAGTAGAGGCAGAGGAACTGTCAGAGTGCATTACATTAAAAAACAATTGCTTATTTGAGATAAAGTCTGTGTGGTCTGGATGTATAATGACAGGGATAATCTTCTTGAGCCGGAGTGCGAGGGCCTTAGTAAGGATTTTATAGTCCACATTTAGAAGGTTAATTGGCAGGTATGATTTGCATTTTCGAGGCTCTTTATTTGTCTTTAAGGTTACTGAGATTGTAGCCTGAGTTAGAGTTTGCGGCAATGCTCCTTTTGTATGTATTTCGCAAAATACTTTACATAACAGAGGGGACAGTTTAGATGATAAAGCTTAATAAAATTCACAAGTAAACCCATCGGTTTTACGTCTGAGTTTTCCCACTCTGTAAGTAACTAATTACCTGTTGAACATCACATTCTGACAAGGGACTTTCCAAAGTTGCGCGTTGATCTTGATTAATATAACCTAATTGATGCAAAAGAAGTTTACCAGCCCACCATAGTATTTTTAACGTAAGTAATACTCAAACATATAGAACAATCAATGTACATATATTGATTGTTAGAGTTTTTATTTATGTTTTCTGTGTGACAGAAAATATTTAACTAATCTAATTTGATTTGGAAGTGTGTCTGTGTTGTGCATGTGTGTAACAAATTGGCGAAGGAGTTTCAGTTCCTTACCTGTTGGCTGGAAGTGATTGTTGTGTATGCTTAACATGAGTGCAGACTCACACAGGAGGGTGTCAGTGACAGGAGGATTAGGAGGGGAGCCTTGGTGTGTATTGATCCACAGACAAACATCATCTGGATAGTGTAAGCCTCATACTGCTATTCAGGCTGTGCATTCACTTTTCATCGTCTGTTTATTTTTCTGTCAGCTCTGTGTGGGTGTCTGTGTATTTGTCAGTGGACATGCATCTGCGTGTTTGAACTTTGTAAGTGCTTAATTTCATTTGTCAAACACACATAATAGAATTGAAATAGAATAGTCGTCCCTATGACCTGTCAGTTGCTTGCACACACAAACACACAGGAATAAAAAAGAAAAAAATATCATCCTACATCATCAATTCATTCCTGCCTGTCCAGACCTTTGAGCTGCTTCCTATTCATTTGGTCACTGATGTGGGTGATGATGAGTTTAAAAGGACAAGCGGCAAATAAACCTGAAAACCTTAATCCACACTTCAAGAATAGGTTTTCACACAAATTCACAAAAAAAAAATAAAGTGTGTTTTAATCTAATCAATATTTAAAATAATTATCATGGGTCAGAGAATTTAACATTCTTCTGTCTCTGACCGTCATGTGTTATATAGTAGATGTAGACTTGGGTCAGGACCTAAACGGTGGCTTAAAGGTCCAGTGTTTAACATTTAAGAGGATGGGATCTATGAACAGAAATTAAATATTCTCTACATAACCAGGTTTTCATTAGTGTTTTTTTTGCCACCTTTTTTTATCTCTATACGCCGCAGGTCGACTTCTATGGAGGCCGCCATGTTTGGACAGTAGCCCAGAACGGACAAATTAGACACTGGCTATAGATAGGGGCAACATCACTAGATGCCACTATATCCGGCACACTGGATCTTTAAAATAGTGGTTGTTAATTTGGGGTAACCGTGAGGTCCTTGATGGGATTCCATGGGATCTCCAGAAAAATGGGTAATATTCACAATTATTCTATAATTTGACTGTTATTTTATTGGCTAAAAGTTGGCCTGGTGACAGAATGTATAAGATTGACCAAGAATTCTGTTCATAGTCTTCACTCTTCACTGTTAATCGGCCCTGATCTTCAGTATAGGCTACAGAATGGAATGGAATAACTGAATATTATCAGACAGGGATCCCTGAGGCTACATCTTATCAAATATGGGTTCCTGGGCTTATGTGTATCAATCTGGGGGTCCTTGACAGCCTAAAGGTTGAGAACTACTGGTTTAAAGGGTAAAGCTGGTGCAATTCTGTATTTTTCTTTTTATCAACAAATCCACTGAACACTAAAGGCAATAATGTGTTAACGACTGGACATGCTTGAAACAAACTAGGTGATGTGTTGTTTGACCAGGTCAAAAGGCAAATGTTATATTAGTTATAAATGTTCACACTGAAACACAAAGTGAAAAGCTGGTCATAGTCATAGTCATATTATGTTTTGTGTAGATTTAAATAAAGTATATGACCTTGTTTACCATATCAATATATATTCAGATATATTTTGTTATATATAAATGACACTCTAATGAAAACATACCTATGAATAACATAT